CCTCATCTTCAACATTGACTTCAATGGAAGGTTGAACTTCCTCCCGAGCTATATATTTCTCTTGAACAACTTCTTGATGAACTTTTCTTACCGGGATCCTTGGAGTTGGTATAGGAATCTATTTCAATGGTCAGCCACTCCTTAGAGTTACTACATGCCATATTTTTTTGGGTTAGGCTCGGTATTGCCCGGTAGAGTTCCTGAGGTCTCAATGAGATAGTTTGAGCTTATGAACTTAGTTGAGCTTCAAGATTTTGAAGTGAATCTTGTTGATTTCTTTGACCCACTTCCAAACTCGAGAATTTGGTTGAGGTATTTTCTATAAACTTGTCAATAGCTTCAAACTTCTTGTTGAATGTGTGACAAATTGCCCTACCAAGTCTTCAAGTTTAGCAAGTTGGCCATCGGAGGGTCGGCTTTCTTCTTGATAGGCCCCTTGGTATGTCGGTTAACTCGGCCTTTGATATGCATTCTGCATTGGAACTTGAGATTGAAACCCCGGGGGTTTCCTTTCCGTCGGAGAAGACCAAAGAAAGTTTGGGTGATTCCTCCATCCTGGATTATAAGTCAAGCTATAAGGGTTATTTCCTCGAGATTGACCTCCAACAAAGTTGGCTTGCTTGAATCTTAGCTATTAAGGGACATCTCTTCGATTAGTCGTTGAAGTTCTCTGACTTCTTTGTTCTGAATGGCACCTCCACTAGCCGCATCAATAAGGCTTCGTGATTCCTTTGTTAACCCATTGTAGAAACTTTCAACTTGTAACCAATCGGCTATGCCATGATGAGGACACTTGAGTAGGAGAGATGTAAATCTTTCCCATGCTTCAAACAATGGTTCATCCTCCTCTTGATGGAAAATATTAATCTCACTTCTCATCAAAGTCGTCTTAGAAGGTGGAATGTACCTTGCAAAGAACTTGTTGCATAGATCATTCCATGAGGAGAGAGAGTGATGTGGTTGATAATTCAACCACTTCTTTGCGGCTCCATTCCAGGTAAATGGGAATAACCATAGTCGAATAGCCTCTTGAAGAACCCCGTTCACCTTGATCCCATCCGTCAACTCGTAAAACGACCTGACATGCGCATGTGCATGTGCATCTTCACTCATCATCCCATTGCATTGAACCGCACTTAGAAGCACTAAAATTCTGTTGGGCTTTATCTCATAATCGTTGTTGGGCAACGTCGGATGAAGAATACGTGATTGAACATTGTCCACACTTGGCCTAGAGTAAGAACCCATTGTTCTTGCCTTGGTGGTAATTGAGCTTGACGTTCTGTCATTAGTGTAGGTTGAGGTCTTGCAACTCTTCTTAGATTCCGAAGGGTTCTCTCGATTTCATAATCAAGAGGTAATATTTCCATATAATCCGTTATTCGCATACAACGATGTTACAAAACACAACCTCAAAAACCTGTGACGTACGAAGTTGGATAACAAAACAAACAACGATACAAATACGGAAAGAACAAAACACGAAACAAACACACAAAAAAACAAACAATACGAAAAACAAACAAAAAACAAACACAACACAAAACAAAAAAAATAAACAAAGGTAAAGAATAACTAACAACTTAATGGTTTTCTAATAGTTACCAAGGTTCCCCGACAACGGAGCCAAAAAGCTTGATCACTTGAATCCGTGCAGGTTATTGTCAGAGGTTAGCACGTATCAACAACTATCCCATCCTAGGCCAAGTTTAACCTAGAATGGCATTGTCGTATAGTGGTAATCAAGGTCATATTCTACTCGTCTCCAGGTACCCTAGCCTACTTCCCACCTAGTTGCTAATTAGTTAATCAGTTTTTGAGGTTTTGAGTGGAGGATATGAGGAAACACTAGTCTAGAGATTGATCAAAGCTAAGCAGATACTTCCGGGAACTATCCCTCCCCCTATCTTAGGGATACTATGTATATCTAGATACTTAGGGTCATCGAATGTGATGAATGAGCTATTTTCCATGGGCTTTCGTGGTTATCCACACACCTCAGAGTACGCCTCCCCTAAACCTATGTTCCAGTCACCTCGATCTAGGCTATCGTATCTGGGGCATTAAGTTTGTCTCTCATTTCAATGGACAATATCCACCGTCCACACTGTGGTTTTATCACCGGTTCCATCTAGGTAGGCTACCTATAGCAGGGGTTCGGTCCCCCCAACCACTATAGGCCCCTATTCACACATCTAACCTAAACTCGCCAGATGACGCATACCCATCTAACCTATAATACCCATACATACATACATACATACATACATACATACATACATACATACATACATACATACATACATACATACATACATAGTAAACCCTAAAACTAGGGTTTGGCGTTTAGAATCACTAGTTCCTTAGAGTATATAACTGAAGACGAAGCCTTTCATGAGATTTTAGGTGATGATCCTGGTTATTATAAAGGACTTGGTTATGGTCCACCACAACCATCTACAAAAGGAAAAGAAGTTGTGGAGGTTTAAGTTATGGAACTTAGAGAGAAACTTGATCAAAACCAAGCCGTGACTGCTCAGATGATGGAAGAGAACAGGCAGCTTAAGGATCAACTTGAGAAAAACCAAACAGTGACTACTTAGTTGCTTGAAGAGAACAAAGAGCTTAAAGATCAATTTGAGGAGAATTGAGTAGTGACTAATCAATTGATCGAAGAGAACAAGGAATTGAAAAGTCAACTTCAAGAAAGCCGAGAAGCTACTGCAAAGACACAAACAGATTTGGCAAGCATAATGCAAGTGCTCTAGGCTCAAGGCATGATGCCTCGTAAGTGATCTAATTTCCTTATACTTTACATGTGTGGCCAGAACTTTAGGAAATAATTATTACAAGTAGTTTAAGTTGTCAAAGGATTATGAGAAAGTTGTAATATATTTGCATGTGTTAGCCTATTGTTTCAAGTGCTCTATGGTCTCCTATCATTGATATGATTTTGTGGTTTTCTTTAGGGTGACAGCCAGGTTGTAATATATTTGTATGTGTTAGCCTATTGTTTCAAGTGCTCTATGGTCTCCTATCTTTGATATGATTTTGTGGTTTTCTTTAGGGTGACAACCAGGTTGTTTCTCTTATATTGGTTTAGTCGAATGATACAAAATAGTGTTCTTTCTCATGGTCAAGATTACTTATGCATATTATGTATCTTACATGTTACGTTTCAGGCAATTGAATGATCATGATGGAGAAATTGGGAAGAATTTTGTGAACCGCTATAAGCTTGATGGACGATATTTTGGGAAGTGCTACAAGCTAAGCGTGGTGGAGTACATTTTGTGAAGTGCTACTAGTGTAGGTAGCTGAATTAGTGAATAGAATATTGAGAACTTGTCTTTTGACATCTCATTATTGAGAAGACAAACTATGTTAAACATGACTAGTAGATTGTGTCGTATTTGTATGTCATTTCAAAAATGCTAGGATACCAATGGATGGAGTATGGTGGAAACTTTAAAGTAATGCAGGTTGTGTTATGTATAAGATTATGTCACCTTATATTGTGTTGTGTTTCTACATTCAGTGAGCCACAAAACTATAAGCACTTTGTACTTTATTTTGGTGACCATTTTAAAAGTAGTCATGAAAATTAGTTGCGACCAGAACTACAACAGTCAGCGAAAATATTTTTGACGACCATTTTTCAGAGTCGCCTAACAGATTATCGTTGGTAGCCTCATCATTGGTGGCAAGAAGTATTGCGACCAAAACAAGTGGTCGCCAATTTGTTAAACATTTGACGACCAACATTTCAGTCGCCAAAACATCACTTTAAGCGACAAACATAATGGTCATCGAAAATGGGTGAAATTACGACCATCATAATTGTCGCCAAAACAATATGGTTCATGACCATATAAAATGGTCGTTGTAAATAAAGCTTTCGACGACCAAGTTTTTGGTCGTTGAACATAACCCTTTTCGCGACCACTATTAAGAGGAGTCGCCTCTATATTAGGCGACGCACTATAGGCGACCACTATTGCGACTTCATTTTTTGGTCGTGAAATCACTTCGAAGACTATTTTATTTGTAATTGCGACCATTTTTTATGATCGTAAAATATTATCTTTCTTGTTGTGTATTGAGGAGAGGCTTGACCGATTTGTAGCAACAGCTAGTTGGCGAGATAAATGAGCCAAGCGCGAATGACACACTTGGATATCAACCGATCATATCACCATCCGATTGGGTGTGATACCCTTGGGGAGGTATATGAAGAGGTGAAGTAGGGATGGCCATTCAGAGTGCGTTGGCAAAGTTGAGGAAGCTTGGGAGCTGCAACCGGGGGCAACTTTGCAAAGTTCGAACAAGTGCGAGGGCGATTGGATAGTTGGAGCAAAGCCACTTTCCCGAATTTTAATAAATAGAAGGCCAAGGTTAAACCTGCGATGAAGGCTTTGGAGTGGAAGGAAAAGACGTACGAAAATCTAAACCAGCGAAAGCAACTCCAAGCCGAACTTGAGGAACTAGAGTGTGATGAAGAGATTTTCTGGCAACAAAGATCGAGGGCTGACTAGCTTAGGGGGGAGACAAAAATACTAGCTTTTTCCACAAAAAAGCTAGTGTTCGATGTAAAAGGAATACAATCCGCAAGCTTAACGATGAATCGGGCCACTGGTGGATGGGGACTGATCAGGTCTCGGTCTTCCTTACAAAATACTTTGGCATGTTATTTCTTGGAGGTGGGCGGCCTACGCCATCACTAGTTCTCGATTCGGTTGAGGAACAAGTGGGAGTAGAGTTGAATGCGTGACTGACGTCTGACGAGACACATGACGAGAGTTGAGTTATATACTGCACTTTGACAGACGAGTAAGACGAAGGCACCAGGAAACAATGGGTTGTCAGTTCTTTTCTTTCAGATGGCATATTATTGGAGACGATGTGACGGGTTTTCTTCTGCAAATTATTGAGTGGGAGTCTATCCCTCAGGGTCTAAATCATAATTTTATTTCCTGATCCCAAAGGTGAAGAATTTGACGATGGCAAAAGAATTTCGTCAGATCAGTTTGTGTAATGTTCTATACGAGATCCTGGCAAAGGCATTGGCAAATCGATTGAAGGGACTTCTGGATGTGATTATATCACAAGAGCAGAGTGCCTTCGTAGAGAGATGGATTAGACTCATGATGATGTGTGTTCGATCAGTCATATACGCAGTACTGGTAAATGGACATAGGTATGATTCTATCTCACCGACCCGGGGGTTGTGCCAAGGAGATCCGTTGTTGCCATATTTGTTCGTCTTAGCAATCCTGGTGAATGGGCACAAGTTAGATGTGATTGTTCTGAGTCGTGGACTAAGACAGGGGGACCCTCTATCACCATATCTTTTTCTTTTGGTGGCGGCGGGTTTGTCGTCTTACACGTCGAAGGCGGTGGCTGAGAGGCATATTCACGGACTGTCAGTGGCGAGGAGCGCCCCTGTGATGTCCCACCTATTTTTCGCTGACGACTCTATCTTTTTTGCTAGGGCCACAGTATAGGAGAAAGGGTATCTTCGAAAGATACTGACGAACGTTGAGTAGGAATTGGGCCAGTTGGTGAGTTTTGGAAAGGTATAAGTTGATATGATCCCAATTGGATCAATCGACAAGTCAGAATTGCTTGATCGATAAACAATCTCAATCACTTGAACTGCCAGAATTTGGCCAAGTTTGGGAACATGTTCAGGAAGACCACTTTAGAGCTCTATTCAAGTAAGAGGGTTGAGAATCGAGTCAGGAGCTCCATACCACATGAAAGTATGTATGCTAATCTACAAACTGGCATTATAGAGAGGCTCAAAATGGCATTATAGGCTGTTTTATTACTTGGAGCTGAAGGCAGAATTTGTTTTCTTGTTTGATTTGGATTGGTATTCCCTTTCTGTTTAAGCCTAGTTTTTCAAGTTCTACTATAATTAGGAAGACTTGTAGTAGTAGTTGCCCTAGCTATCTATTTAAACATTCATCGATTGCGTTGTAATTCATTCCAGTTTTAATCAAAGAACTTGTTTATTCATAAAGCCTTGTCTCGTGAATATGTCATTGTTTGAGTGGATTGAATTCCATCAACCAAGCAAGCTCAACATAAATTGAATATACACCTCAATTGTGGACGAGTTGCTACCACAAACTCGATCGAGCCTCTTCCCAATTTGGCGAGAAGTTGCACGTTCGAAACCATCCCCTTCCTTTGCTCTATTTTTGTGTCAAAGAGACTCCAATACATTGATTCATTGGATTTAATCTAAGCTAAGCACCCTAGCTTTGTGATCAGGGTGTTATCAAGTGGTATCAAGAGCTTGGTTCAACTCAACAGCGATTGTGAGGAATTCCTGGGTTCTGCGCGGTGGCTAGGAAGACGATTTTGTCACCGGAAGGCATCGTTGGAACTAAAAGGTGGACCTGATCAAAAGGGAATGTTTTCCCTGACCCCAATGTCGTTTTACTATCGGAACAGATGACGAAGAAGAAGCGGGCGGCTGCAGCGACTGCTCTCGTTCCCTCCATCGCAGTACGAACAAAATCTACACCAAAGAAGGAAACCTCAATTGACGAGGTATCAATGGCCGAAGAGAAGATCAATACCTCCGAACTACTCCAAACAATTATGGCGCAACTGAACATCACAATTTGATCAGATTAATTGCCAATTGACCGAATTGAAGACATCTACGAGCAACCCATTTTCCGACAGCAAGAGTTACAGAGTACGTTACCAACCCATAAGGTAATCGAGTTCGGACTGCCGCAACTAAACCCTCAAACATGAATTTCCTAATCATATCAATTGACCACTGGAAGCAAGGCAAGTGATTGTATTGACAGACCTGAAGGGAATCAAGCTTTTGATTCCTTCCTTCTTAGGATCCAACAATGTCTTAGCTAGGGATGACAATTTGAACCCGCCCCGTCGGGTATTACCCGACTTGACCCGTGATGGGGCGAGAATTACCCGACCCATAGTAGCGTGCGGTGAGGCATGAGTGTCAACTTTCGACCCGCCCTATCCCGCCCCGCCCTATTTTTTACCCGTTCTCGGTCAATTTCTTACGCCATCCATTCATATAACTTCTATTTTGGCTTTTCTTCAACTAGTTAGACTTGATCTTTCAACTAAATAGACTCAATTACCCATTATATTATAACTTTTATTCATTCATGAAGTCTTTTCCCCCTTTGTGTTATCGTAAAAAGTAAAGTTTTGCTTGTAGTTTTTTTGCAACTCGCATATATGAGTGGGTCAACCCGCTCCGCCCCGTACCCACGCTGGTATTACTTGTCCCGACCTATAGTAGCATGGGGCGAGGCATGGGTATTGAGGTACTCGCCCCGCCCAACCCATTGCCATCACTAGTCTCAGCATACCTAGATTGGGAAAGGAAAATAATTCTCTTCTTTCAATGTGGCAATTACACCAATTTCCAGAAGATCTCGCTTGCCACCTATGAGTTTATGGACTACCCATCATTGTGGTGGGAAAAGGTGCAGCTTCAACGATGAAGAAACCTTCAGCCTGCTGTAACGACTTGGGACCAGCTGAGAAGTCTAATGAGGGGTCGCTTTGTACCCGAGTATTACCAAAGTGACCTCTTCGAGTCCTTACAAGAAATTCGGCATGGTTCGTGATATGTTGACGAGTATTACAAAGAGCTTGAGTTGCTCTTAATGAGAGCCGATGTCAGAGAAGATAGAGAAGCCACGATCGAGAGTTTTTACACAGATTAAACAGGGAAATCCAATATGAGGTGGAGCTTTGACCATTTGTCGAATTGGAGGAAGTTGTCCATCTTGCAATGAGATGGGGAAAAAGATGAAGCTCTTTACAAATCGACAATTCCCAACGGCGACGAAGACTACTCCAGAACTTGTTCAAGGAAACCCTATGATTCCAACTCGAATAGAGGGAGACAAGGCAGGTGTTCGAAATCAGTTAGCCAAAGCTGAGGGATCCAGCCCCAAAATTCAGTGCTTCAAGTATTTTGGATGGGGACACATGGCCAATCAATAGGGACGGAGAATATTACTCCGAGGATGAAGAGGACCAGCAAACGGAAGCTATATTTGATTATGATGGAGAAAGGGTCGACGAAGAGATTCAGGTTGAAACTCCACTCTAAGGAAAATTGTTTGTTGTCAGCCGAAGAGCTCTCACAACTACAGCCCAGCCTGAGTCAAAACAATGAGAGAACCTTTTCAGACCCGATGTTATGTTGACGGTCAATTGCTCTCTATAATCGCGATGGCGAAAGCTGTGCTAACGTAATTAGCCAGGATGTGATCAAAAGGCTTGGATTGACGAACAACAGGCATCCAAAGCCGTACAACTTACATTGGCTCAACGATTACAGAGCCATTAAGGTGCAATGACAAGCGCTCGTCAAATTCACCAATGTAAGCTACTCATCTTCTAATGGGCAGGTCGTGCCAGTTTGATAGAGGCGTGTGGCATTACGGCGGCTGGAGGTTAGTTGACGGTGAATTATAGGAGAATCCATTTGGAAACGTCCCAAAGATTCCAAAATAGCTACCCTAACCACTCGGCGATTCATGTTAACTGGTTACAGGAAGAAGAAGACCCCTCGTCGACGGCGACTCTGCATTTCTTTGCCGGAGCAGAGCAGGAGAGAGGGAGAGTTGGTGTGGCTGCTGGGAAGCGATCCGAACTCACCACTAATGCCGAAATGTTCCATGAGTCATAAAGAAGCTCTCCTAGCGATTGAATTGAATCGAATTTTCCTAATTTGCAGGATCCGGACGCGCTAAAACGCCCCTGCATGAGCTCAAACACGAGGAAGAAATGGTGCAATTGGGTGGGGTGCCAGGAAACAATTTGACACAAACAAACGATGCGGAATCATCAAAGGTCGACCGAGGAAGCTGTAGGACCCCTCGAATCAACTGAGCGATGCTTTAGCTAGAAACGCACAAATCGGGATTGAAAATTCTGGGTTGTGCAGGTTTGAATATCGATGAGGACGGGAAACATCGAATCGTTGATTCGACGATGCCAACGATGAATCGAAAGACGGGGCTTGTCTAGAAAGTCAATTCGAAGCGAGGTGAGGATGATGGTAACCACGAATTGAAATGGGAATGTCTAAATCGAAAGTCCCCAATTTTATGGATGAAGAACACTGAACTAATTTTCCATAAAGGCAAGTTCGAGCAGCCCTCTTTTGATCCGATTTAGGATCAGTTGTGTGACGAGTTTGAGAAGCGAAAGGAATCAACTTTGAGAGTAAAGCTTTTTGATGAAGGGGGGACTAATATAATCCTAATTGGATCAATCTACAAGTCAGGATTGCTTGATCGTGAATCAATCTCAATCACTAACACAAACTGCCAGAATTTGGCTAAAGTCTGGGAACGTGTTCAGGAAGGCCACTTTGGAGCTTTATTCAAGGAAGAGGGTTGTGAATCGAGTCAGGAGCTCGATACCACATGAAAGTACGTATGCTATCTACAAAGACAATGCATTGGTTGATGGAGTACTTACCAGAAGGTCTTCGATCGAGAGGCTCAAAGATGGCATTGAAGACTGTTTTATTACTTGGAGTTGAAGGCAAAATTTGTTTCCTTGTTTGATTCGGATTGTTATTCCTTTTCTGTTTAAGCCTAGTTTTTTTAGTACTACTATAATTAGGAAGACTTGTAGTTGTAGTTGCCCTAGCTATCTATTTAAACACACATTGATTGCGTTGTAATTCATTCAAGTTTTAATCAAAGAACACGTTTGTTCATAGAACCTTGTCTCGTGAATCTGTCCTGGTTTGAGTGGATTGAATTCCATCAACCAAGTAAGCGCAACATTAATTGAGTATACACCTCAATTGTGGATGAGTTGTTACCACAAACTCGATCGAGCCTCTTCCCAATTTGGCGAGAAGTTTTACGTTCTAAACCATCCCCTTCCTTTGCTCTATTTTTGTGCCGAAGAGACTCCATTCAATTGATTCATTGGAGTTGAGTTAAGCTAGGCACCCTAGCTTGAGATCAGGGTGTTATCAGAAGTCAGTTTTGGCTCCAATGTAAAACCACATCAGCGATTATAGGTTAGCTCAATTTTGGGTATGAAGGCGGTGAAGAAGCATGATAAATATTTGGGATTGGTAACAGAGGTGGGCAGGTTGAAGAAGGAGTTATTTGCATATTTGAAAGAACGTGTCCATAAGAAGCTTGCAGGATGGAAGCATAGAGTTATGTCAGTAACGGTGAGGGAAGTTTTAATTAAGTCAGTCGCGCAGGCACAACTGACATACACGATGTCTGTGTTTAAGGTACCGGATGGGATTATTGACGATATACATGGCATGATTACCAAATTCTTGTGGGGACAGGAGGTAGATGAGAAGAGAATATCATGGATGGCGCGGGAATCTTTGATATGCTCAAAAGTTGAGGGAGGAATGGGTTTCCAGGACCTTTAATCAGGCACTCCTAGCACTCCGGCTTTCGAGCTTACATCAGCAGTCGAGATCGTTGATTGCTCGAATCCTATGAGCAAAGTATCATAAGAATACTTCGGAGCACGACGCAAGTGTTGGGTACCAACCAAGTTATGTTTGGCGTAGTCTTGTGAGTGCTCAGGAATTCCTGGTTAGTGTATTGCGATGGAGTATCGGGAACGGTTCTTTAGTTCGAATTTGGGGGGATCGCTGGTTTTCTATGACCCCAGGGTACATTATGCAGTCGGCGCCTGTGAGTTTGGAGGTGGACTCGACGGTGAGGGAGTTAATTGACGAGACCACTAATTAGTGGGATAACACCCTCATCGAGACTTGCTTCACTCGAGACATGGCTGATGTGATACGTCAAATCCCGTTACAGAACATGGACGAGGTGGACAAGATGATCTGGGCATCTAGTAGCATGGTCCATGAAACCGTACCGGAGACCGTACCAGAAAAGTCAGCGATAGGGTAATTTATGACCAAACCGTGGTTTAACCGTAGTTCAACCGTTAGTACCGTTAAATACTGCCTATCGATTTAGCCTCCGATACTGGTATTTTGTGGTTGAACCGTTGGTACGGTACGGTTTAATGGACCTTGTCTAGTAGGGATGGGAGATATACGGCGAAGGAAGGCATCAAGAAATGGTTGGAGGATGTACGTGAAACAAAGGGTCTGCCGGTGGTGGGGGACTCGACCATGTGGAAGAAACCGTGGTTGATGAATGTGCCGCCTAAGGTGCGTATTTTTATATGGAGATTTGCAAGGGAATCGTTAGCCACCGAATGTGACGCCAGAAGCGGGGTGATGCTTGTCCATTCTGAAACCTTAGTGAAACCCAAACACATTTGTTCTACGAATGTGCTTGGGCCAGCCGGTTGTGGAGAGCATCACATATGGCGTCGCTGTTTGAGATGATCGCTGACGTGGCTTGTATGGGTGGAGAAGCAACAAAAGAATCTTCGGAGGGAGACTTGGAGGATTGGAGTATGATTCTATGGATGTTGTGGAAAGAGAGGAATGCCCACTTATTTAATGGTGAGAAGATGGATGAGTCGGAGATCACTTCCCGCGCTCAGTCTTTGCTTGATGAATATAGGTTGAGGCAAACGCGTGAATGGCTCGCCCCGTTGGCAGCACTGGTGAAGATATGGATGCGGCCAGGCGAAGGGTATGTGAAGGTGATCACCGACGTGGGAATTGATCCTGCGGGAGCAGGTCTAGTGGTTGTCGTGCGTGACCACCAAGGCTGGTTTCTAATGGCAACAGCTAAGCGGAGTCAAGGTATGAAGGAGGTGGAGCTCGGGGAAGCCTTGGATGTTGAGTTCGGGATGATGCTTGTCTGCCAACACCAAACACCAGTTGGAACCCCGGTTCTGGAAATGGACTACTTAAAGCGATGAAGGCTATTCGCGAGGCAGAAGAGGTGGAAATGGAACTTGGCATTATATGTCGAGAAGTGAGGAAGCGACTTGAATCAATAGGTGGCATAATGAGGCATGTATGTCGGGATCCTAACTCGGCAGCTCACATAATGGCACACTCAAAGACAAGATGGGATGAAGCTGAAGTGTGGTTTGACCGCCCACCAGTATTTTTGGTTGATCAATTAAGTCTGGATAATGTAACAGTTTCGATTGATCAATAAAGCTCCGTGCAGGTTTCTATAAAAAAATATCCTATCTCTGAGTCGGATTGGTTATACTGGATGGATACCTATCTAAAACGATAGGTGATTTTTATGTTATGAAAAGGTTGAATCAAAATTAATTTACGATTTTAGAGGTCGTTTGCGTCGTGAATTGGGTTGATGGATTTGGGTAAAATTCATAATGGATTTAAAGAAAATCCATTGTTTGCTTGCACTTTTTTAGAGACCAAATCCATGGGCCTCACGGACTTGTAAATCCCACATATTGATGTGGGATTTGAAACATGTCATATATCCATTATGCGATTTTACCCATATACCCTCTTGAACTTTTAATATTCCAAGGTTTGTAAATTATAATTAATCAATTAATTGACAACAAAGAAATAATATAAATATTTAATTAATGTGAAAACATGAGTTAGATTTTTTATACTCTTTCTTGTGTTCTAGTTTCATTTGACATTTTCATGAAACCTGGAATTTTTTGTTCTCTCGGTTCTAATATATGTTGCTATGTGTTACTCTTACAAAGAATTAATAACTTATATATGTTACATTAAAAGTTAAACAGAATTTCCCCATTTATTATTATTATACTTGTGACAACATTATACTTATTAGTACGATTGTCCTTCTTTTGTGGATATATCCTAAACATGACGAACAAATAGAAAATTATAGTAAAATAATTTTAGATTTAGTGATAAAACATCTCAACAAATAAAATATCGTTATAAAACCATAATACCACAAATTTTTGGATATTTAAATTACAAAACTCACATTTTCAAAGGAATGAAACAAATTTCGAAAAAAAGAATGAAACAAACAGCCCTTTACATACCCCGTCTATCACTGATTTTTTCGGAATATCATGCGATGCGATTTCACTTTCAGAGATATTAACCCTTTCCTTAAAACACATCATCTCTCGATTTCCCTTTCAAGTGCCCGCGCCAAAAATGAAACCCTAAATCTTGAAATGGAGCCAAATTCTCTAGTCTCTCTTTTGCCTTAACAGTTAATAATCACCGATTGTGGTCAGAGTTCGACGGAGAGTTTGAATTGCAGCGGTGGTGGGACGATAAGAGTATCTTGATCGCCTTGTACTGGTCTTCCGAAACTGACAGGTAAATTTGTGATGTTTGATGGATTCCCTTTTCTTGTTATAGTTACTGATTCCATTCGTTTCGGTGAAGCTTATAGGTTCCCAGAATTGGAAGTATATGTAGTTGCCTTGCGTTGAATCCACATAGAAAGTTATGGTTAAGCGGAGGTGTAACTGTGGGTTGAGGAAAGCTGGGAAAAGGCGTCGAAAGGTGGAAGATACTTCATCTACTACTGACAGGTTAAGCCATCTTCCCGAACCCATTATTTATCACATTCTTTCGTTCCTCGATACCAAATCCGCCGTTCGGACCTCAAAGTTGTCCCGATCATGGAGTCGCGTGTGGAAGCATGTCCCTGTCCTTGATCTGCGTAGTAGTGCCCTCCGAGGGCTTGTGCGTCTTGAAAAATTTGTGTGCAAGGTTCTGTCACTCCGCTATGACCTCAATGTCCGCAAGGTTAGCTACATTGATGATGTAGGCTATGGGTTTCAAAGACACGAGAGCATGATGGTGAGGGTCATCAAATATGCTTTTTCTCATCGGGTTCAACATCTAGTGGTTGACACGGGATATGACAGCAATCATGATGATACTCACAGATTCTCCTTTTTGTTTGGACCAATCAAGAATTGTGATCATCTGGAAACTCTAGAGTTAGGATCTGTAACCCTTGACAGTGGATTTGGGTATTCTGGTTTCCGAATGCTGACAACGTTGAATGTGAGGGCTTGCATGTTGGATACTGATCAGGGGGATGATCTTGATCTCTTTTGCAACTTTCCTTATCTGAGGAATTTGATATTGTCTGACTGCTTCCTTCCTTGCACAAAAAGTGAAGGGAATCTGAGGGTATGTGGACCTGAATTGGATAACCTGGAATTGAATGCCATGGATCAATTCAAGATTGAAATTTTCACTCCGAAACTCACATACTTGAACGTTCGTCAAGACTTGGACTCCCTCGGATTCTCCAAGTTAACCCTTCCTTCCCTAGATCATGCAGATATTGGGATGCTCAAAGTCCCAGGGTATGATTCTGACAAATTTAAGGCACAGATGCAACAAAATTTGACCTCCTTGTTCCATGGTGTGCATAATGCAAGATCTTTGAAGCTACATGGCTGTAGTGTTGAGGTAATACTTTGACCTAATGCATGAATGGCGTAATTGGTTCCTTCGAGAAGATTTTCTTATACTCTTTAATTTGTCTATGTTCTCTGTAGATAGTGGATGATGTTTGTGAATTTCTGAAACAACAGCCACCCCCCTTTAAGAGATTGGAGTGCTTGATCGTGGGATCTGATAGTCTACCAAAGGAACTCATTGATTGCTTTTTTAAAGGGTCATCTTGTCAAGAGCCATCTATTGTTTATGATCTGTAAGCAGACAGTAGCTTACATTTGTTGTCCACATTTAAGTACTAGTTAGAACGGGAGGGGAAAAACTCTGTTTTGTTGAGGAAGGCGTAATCTCTTCTTACCAGTGCCATTGAATGTCCAGGAAAGTCGTCGTTGACAACTTTGCCACAGTTTCTGATTTTGGTTAGTGTTTCCTTTCCTTCTTTTCAGATCAATTAGATAGGAATAGTCACACCCGTCTATTGTTAGTTCTTGAAACAGGTCGTTCTGAATCACTTTGCAAGGTACACAACCTGTTCTTTGTGAAATATGACAAGCGCTATTGATCTATTAGACAAGTATGTGTTTCTCCCAACTGCTGGATACTTATGGCTGGTATTATCATTATTGGTCTTTCTGCTTGTACTGGTAGTTGTTTTCCCCCTAATTCTTGTATTGGCAATTTGGACAACATGACAATTAGATCTATACCATTTTATACTGGCTCTCTGTTTGATTATTTGAGGATGTTACTTTGCCCGATGACAATTCTTTTGTGACTGAATGAATGGACAGATAAGCTGATCTCAGTTGACTTGACACAATTCTTCTGCTGTAAGCTGAACTGCTACCTTAAAGAATTTGTGGATTGCGTGATTGGTCTCTCATTGCTTGCTTTTGATCGTTCAATTAAGTTGGGTGATGCTCAGTATCCTGCTGCAATCATCGACGGGGATCCTGTCTCCACCTCTCTCTCAAATGTAACTGAGGGTGCTCATTAAATCTGCCAATCCTTTCAGATGAGTTACTTCACAAGCAAGGTTCCTCCAGTGCCATCGGCTAGGGAATATTGATGCTGGAGACCCACCATGGCTAGAGAGCAACCTTGAGAGTTGAGAGAAGTAAGAAAAGGGCCAAACATTCTCATCAATTTCGAGTTTGAGGGCTACAGTGCTACACCATGGTGATCCTTAGTGAGTGGTGAATGGTGATGACAGCCAAGAAAATTAATTTGCGCCGAGAGTCGAACTGAGGGTGCTTCTCATTCGTTGGGCTCGGGAACACTGATCTTCCTCGAGGCATGGTCAGGCCAACTACCTCCAGAGAGGGATGATAATGGGTCAGGTTAGGTCTCAAATCCAACTCACCAAGTTACACCCATTAAAAAATTCGGTAAAATACCCATTGAGTTTTAGAAGTTAAAATTCAACCAAACTCAATGGGTACCTATGGGTTCACGAACATAAGTATATCTTATTTCTTCCAACATCGATATTGTAATGTTATCGAAAATTTCCCTCTATAAACAATACTAACATCCATAATGTATTCATATTATTAGGTTTATATAAACATAAAGGCTAATAACATCCATATTGTTCAGGTTAGATACAAATGATGTCATTTCGTTTTATGGGTGTGAGTCGGGTGTAAAGCGGGTTAGGTTTGGGCAAAACACAACTCAACCCAACTCCTCAATTTCAAAAGTGGATAATGACGATTAATATAAGTATTGTTTTCATAAATATGGGTTGTGCTTAGGTGAATAATTTTTTTTGTTGAAGTCACAAATAGAATGTTGCGGAACATAAATAAGGCCAATCATACCGGAAAAGTAGAACATAAATACGACAAAGCATATCACAAAGGGGTTGTTTTGATAGATCAATCTAGAAATGAGTTAATTTGATCAATTGTCTCATTTTATAAACGATGCAATTAAAACGAGTCAATTCGAATTACCTGCCACCACCCCAGGTAATTGAAATTGACTCAAAATGGATCAATTCAAAATACCTCAGACAGATTGATCCATCTAAATTTTTTGCTGACAAACGAGGCAATTTGTTACAATTATCTCAAAATGAGACAATTATGTCAAATTGATCCGTTACAATTCCTCATCCAAACGAACTAAAATTACTAAATCATACTAGAAACACAAGAGATGAACTCACACCTACATCAGACTAGTCTCCAGACTCTCCACTTTAGTTACAGTTGGGAAGTTCTTAGTGTTTGGCGCTTGGCGGTCTCCACCCAAATCAGAGGGAAAATAGCCTCCCAATGCCCACATTTGGCATTATAGTCATTCGTTTAGCCCTTGGCGGTGGACAAGCTTACCAGTAGTTACTAGATTCAGACCCGGCTCGTTGGCCGAATACATTTCATTAATTTATAAACAACAATAATTATTATATATAAACGTGAAGTGAGGTTACTGTTACTAAAATAACTACATTTTGATATCTCAAATTTAATTAAATTACAACTTAGTCATTATAATGTATATTTTACATTTTGATACCCCAAATTTAATTTTAAAGTAAAATCATTGAACAATTATATTTTAGTATCTAAATTTTATGAGATTTTCATACCTACAATTTTTAAAATTTACATATTGGTCCAATGTTTACATTTCACTTGAATCCATAAATCCAATCCACCAATTCATGAATCCAATCCACCGTAACATAAAATTATAAATTTAGTTTGTACCATACAAGATGTTGTATCACTCAACTGTAGAAGAAGATTCGACTATTTTGGTCTTTGATGAGATTTTTACTTCAAATAAACATGTATGATATCCATTTGAAATAATAATGATCATTTTTAAAAGAGCATTCTATTCGGTGATGTGACAACATATTTAGTAAAATATAATACGAGTACATTAAGATATTGATCTGTACGAAGTTTTTGTTTGACATTTTAATAAAACAATGTTTAAAAAAAACAATAATAAAAATCATAACACTTTATATATTTCTTTCATTGCCTTCTTCGTCTAACCATAATTAGTAATTGAATCATGAACCATTAACTTTTTCAGCTCAATGTCGAGTCCAATTAAAAATAAAGATATATGACTATTACTTACTAGAAAGTCATCATTGTCCACTATGGGATTTGAAGGCTTGAAATTTTTAGCGAGTTCCCGTTTGTATTCATTTTGCTTCTCTATAGAGTTTTTCTTTTTCACCCGGGCTAGATTTTCAACAATTATATGTTTGACTAGGTACCTACACATATCAAATAAATAGTTTCCATTTTTCTAAAAAAAGTAAATAATTATCATCTTAAATACATCACCATGAAAGGAATTAAGCCTCAACTATGCAAATTATAGTTCGGTACATAAACTTAATAGATCTTAGATTTATGGCCTAAATTTATTTTTTTAGCATACAAGTCCTCAAAAATCAAAATATTGATGGAACAATACATTTTAGTACCTAATTTTTTTACTACATTTTGGTACCTAAAATTTTGAAGTTCTACAAATAGTTCTCATTTTTGTATGTGTAATTAAAACACCTTCGAATAAATGGGTATCCACACCCAACTCATACACATTTAGATTATGGAAGTAAATATCCATACCCTACCCAAACTCATCTACAACTTCCAAACTCATATATAAGTCACCCATACCCTACTTATAATCAATGGGTCTACTTGGGTTTAGGTAGATATAGTTTATCAACCCAAAATTTCAAAATATTTGAAATTGGATGTTCACTGTCATATATCTTTTCTTGTTCAATATCATATTGTCAAGTCAATATTATTAACAAAATTACTAACAAAAAATTAATTTTAGGCTAATAATACTAACTAAACACCATAACGGGTCACATAATACATGCCGATAGGCCATCTCCTCCCGCGACAAGGCGTGACATCGCCACCTAGTAATTATATAAAGTAAGATATCTTTTTATTGGTACCGTGCAATGATGCAAAGGAACCACACTTTATTTAACTACTTTGGATTACAAATTATTGCAAAAATTTTCTTAGACTTCGTTTCATTTCAGTTGTCCTCTTGTCGCATTGAAATTTGATAATGATAATTATTATAGTTCTGAATTTATAGTCTTCTCTTTTTTATGATAATGGCAAATCTTCTCTCAAAGTTCATTCTTTTCATGTTTAAGTGAATAGTATAATTAAAAGATACCAATTTTACAAAATAATATATTTTCTTATTTACGACCATAAAATAATATGAAATATTCAATTATTTGAAAATTGATAAAATGAGATACAACATAGAGTTTTCCAACAATTATACCGAGTGATCTATGAAGTTCCTTATTGAAATGAAAACCAAGAACAAAGCAAGGAATCTAAATTCTAAGAAACCTAATTTAATTACACTTCATTTCATTTTACTATGTTTTGTCAAACATTAGAGCAATTTTCTTTCGACTTCTTTACCATTGGCCCAACATCAACATGTTACTCTCTCAACCATTAACAATATAAACTATCTTCATCACCTACCTATACTATCTTCACGGCTAATTGTCACTTCTTTTTTTCTTAACAACGTCGTTATCCATATCAGTGACTCCACTGCTTCATTTCATTGGTAGCAAATTTGAAGGCAAAAGTTATGCAAACATGAAACATCATTTTCACACAAAATATCTTTAGAGAAGAACAATCTATGAGGGGCAATTTATCATGACTAAAACATGGATTTTGCATCCCATAGATGTTGTTCCATCCTTCGAAACTTACTACAGTTAGAAGCCTTCAATTCGAGGAACTAAATGTTGTAAACACATTCATAATTAAGAAGGAATTATGATGTCGGGCATATTCACAATGATGTCGGATAGAATGGTAACTTTGACCTAATCTATTTTACATAATCTATTTTATCTGTTTAAAGTGGGTAATACCCATCCCATAAGCGGGACAGGACGAACATGAGTATAATTTTACTTAATTCACATTTAATTTTATTTTTATTGCCTCATATGTTGCAACAATAAAGTTGTAAATAAGTGAGAGTCTCAATTACTTGAATAATTTAACTACATTAATCATGTTATACTTTGTTTCTTAAGTTTTTAATTAAAAATTAATATTTCTAGTATTTTTAATTTAAATTATAGGGTAATGTCTATTTTTATCCAAACGTTTTTCAGATTCTTTAATATTACCCAAACCTATTAAAATGCTATTAATTAGTCACTCTCTCGTTAGTTTCCGTCCAACTCTATTAACGGAGTTGGACAGAGGCGAACGGAGAGTGACTAAATGTGACACGTTTCAGTAATTCGAGTGACATTCATAAGAAAAAAAATAAATTCGAGTGACCGCAGTTGGATGGATGCTAACGGGAGAGAGACTAAATGTGACCCGTTTTAATAATTCGAATGACCATAATTTATATTAAATTTTTCTAGTGACTAAACATAACACAATTTAGTAATCCAAGTGACCAAATATGGCATTTACCCGGGAGAGTACATGTCAACAAAACATGAAGTGACGAATATGGACTTGACCTAATGGTTCTATAGCTAGTCTTCAATAGTTCAATCTGAATATTTCAATTTCAAAACAGGTAATATATAAAATTAATGACACTCTTTAAGACAAATCCTAAAGTGTACAAAGTTTTGAAAATTCGGTGTCCAATTTCATATATATTACACTTTCATGTTATTATTAAAGTAAAATTTAAGTAAATTGGATTTAGAGTTGAGTTTCATAATTTTTTATATGACATTCAGAACTTGTCATTTGTTAGTTTTTATACCCATGATATATACAAATCTTAACAAGAAAACTACCACATAACCTGGCCCGTCGGCCAGATATTGATATTTGTTTATTGTGTATTCCACTTCACTAGTAATGTTGATGTTTGGAGTGCTTTTTTATAAAATTATCGGAGAATAAATTAGATAAGAACTCAGGGGTCGTTTGGATGGAGTATTTGTATGAGTTATTTGGGTTCAAATAACTCATAATGAGTTATTTGGATGCAAATAACTCGTTTGGCAGCGTTTTAGTGAAATGGGTTATTTGGACAGTGAGTTATTTACAAATAACTCAAAACGAGTTATTTGAAATAACTTATACTCATGTGTTATTTCGAAATAACTCGTTTTATCACTCTGCTTTTACCAAATACCACATGTCAAATACCACATTTGCATGGTTCAACCAAACGAGATACTTTATTTCAATTACCACTAAAATAACACTGAAATACCACATGAGCAATAAATGAGTTATTTTACACTACAAATACCACATTGACAATTAACCCATCCAAACGACCCCTCAAAGTATTTGATCAGCAATCTTGTAAAAATACAGAATCTGTATAGAATATATATGAAGTACAAGAAATATTTATTTTCTTTATAAAAAAATCAAGAAGCAAATTATGACACGATAATTGTAGTTAGATTTTCCACAAAATTGGAGTTCTCGCCTATTTATAACTTTATTATAGCTAAAAAATCATAAATAATTAAAATATAATTACATATAATTTAAACAAAATGGATCAAGAATTAGGCGGGTCAGATCGAGCGAACAACCTATACCTATCCCCTTAAAAAAAATTTGATAAACCAAAATATAGATGCTATAAAACTAAAATTCTCCCTTATATATTACCATACATATTTACGAAAAAATATAGCTCGGATAATACTACTAACGATGAGGCAAAGGTGGTACACCATCATCAACAAATATAATGCTTTTTTTACCTTCCTGCTTCTCTTGTCAATTTTATTTAAGGGTTGTCCTCCTGACTTTGCTTCGGCTGTGGGTTGTAAATGTGAGTAAGTCATATTATTAGGCAACAGTAACTTGCATTCAGGTTTATAATATTAAATTAGGCAACAATAACCTGCATTGTCCTCCTGACTTTGCTTCGCTGTGGGTTGTAAATGTGAGTAATTCATATTATTAGGCAACAATAACCTGCATTCAGGTTTATATATATTAATAATACATGTACCTAGTATATATGCTCATTCGTAAATTCAACATTTTTGCAGATAAAGTCTAATCTATAAACTCCAAGTTCACATAGGATTTTTTACCATGATACATGTACAATCGATTTTCATCATAGAGAAAAATGTTTGCCTTTTGATGTAGCTTGGAGTTTCAATGGAATATATTTTTTTTCCTTATAATAATCTTTTTTTTTTCTGATGAATAAGTTGTGTATTCATCAAGAAAGAATGGCAAAACACCATTCTAACTGGTACCAAGCTACAAACTGTCTGATTACAGAGACTGTGGCAAGCACCCTGGCTACAACTACAGCAGCTAACAACAACAAACCTGTCTAAAATCAAGAATCAAACAAATGTGTTACATTATACTGATTATCTCGGCCTCACTGACTACTGAACTAACTTGAGGGAAACCACTCCTTAGTAAAAGCAGCATCCGCTGCAGTTTCTTCAGCAGCTGTTCCTCTGTTAGAGTCTCGTTACCATACAACCGTCGACACCGCTCTCGCCATAACTCACTCACCACTGTCAACCAAAACAGCCTGCCCCTGTCAGAATTTGGTGAAGTTGTTTTAAACCGGCCTAAAGCAATCGCCAAGTTCTCATCCCAGCTTCCTCCTACTTGGAACCTCGAGTGAAAGACAGCCTGCAAGACCTTTTGAGAATAAGGGCAATCAAAAAACAAATGACTTCTTGACTCTGGTGCAGCTGTACATAGGGGACATATGTTGTTAACAGATGGACTCCAAGCCTGCACCTTGTCCAATGTGCTTATCCTGTTGAGGATAATAAGCCACCCAAGAACTTTGTCTCGAGGTGTACATAGAGATTTCCAGACTAATCCATACCAAGGAACCTTTTCATATTTGGGTCGAAGAGACTCCCAAACTTTCTTTACTGAGTACTTGCTCATAAGCTGGCCATCCCAATAGACCTCAGAAAGTCTAACAGAGAGATGGTTCTCTGCATAGTCCCTTTGCATTAAGACCTTCCTCCATGCCCAAGAACAGTTTATTGAAGATGGAATGTCCCAGATAGATGTATAGGTAAGCTGATACTGACGAACCCAGTGAGCCCATAGAGAGGAGGAATTAGAAGCCAACGCCCATAGATGCCTGATAAGACAGGCAGAATTCCAACTTCTGAGATCCTTGAACCCCAAACCTCCCTCCTGTTTTGGCCTAGCCACATATTTCCAGTTTACCTTTGCCTTTTTCCCCTCCTCCTCAGCATTCCAAAGAAAATCAGAGCAGAGTTTTTCAACCTGTTTGATCACCTTGACAGGCAGAGTAATAATCCCCATCCAGTATTGTGTTATACTAGAAATAACAGCTGTAACTAATTGCAGTTTCCCAGCATAGGAGAGAGCTCTGACATTCCAACCCTTAATTCGAGCAGTTATCTTTTCAACTAAAGCAGCACAATCAGCAGTATTTAACTTCCCAGCAATCAGGGGGACTCCCAAGTAACGTACTGGAAGTGCCCCAACTACAAATCCAGTTCTCATAGTGATTTGACCCTTAGTTTCAGCATCTATTCCAACACAGAAAACTTCACTTTTTGTTGGATTGCATTTCAATCCTGACACAGTATAGAATATGTCTAGGATCTGTTTTGTGGTCTCCACTGCCTCACAAGTCCCTTTAGTAAAAATGAGCAAGTCATCCGCAAAACAAAGGTGGGATAGAGCTATCCTATGTGTTTGGGGATGTGGGGGAAGAGTTTTGAGCACATAGGCCCTATTCAACATACAAGACAACACTTCCATTGAGATTGTGAATAGGTAAGGGGACAAAGGGTCCCCTTGCCTCAACCCCTTTTTTGAAGAGAAATAACCACAGAGGCCCCCATTAAAGCTAACACTGAGCTTGGTACTGTGCAGGCATATACTGATCCATTTTACAAACTGGCTAGGAAACCCCATTGCCCCCATAACTGTTTCCAAGAAGTCCCAGTCCACACTATCGAATGCCTTCATTATGTCAACCTTTAAAGCACATCTAGGTGATACAGATTTCCTATTATAAAGCCTAACCATCTCATGAGCAAGCAACACATTATCACTAATGAGTCTCCCTTTAATGAAGGCAGATTGGTTTTGACTTATAACTAGGGGAAGAACCTCTCGTAGTCTGTTTGCAAGGACCTTAGCTATGCATTTATAAAAGATGTTACAGCAGGAGATAGGCCTAAACTGCTTCATGCAGTCAGCATTTAGCATTTTAGGTATAAGAGCCAGGTAGGTGGAGTTTACCTCTGTGAGAAGCTTCCCTGTCCTGAAGAAGTCCATAATAGCTGTTGAGACATCAGCCCCTACAATCTCCCAATTATGCAGGAAAAAACCCACTGTAAACCCATCAGGGCCTGGGGACTTATCACCATTCATTGAGAACATTGCAGACTTTATTTCTTCATAGGAAACTTGAGTACACAAAGAGGCCCCCTGATCTGAAGACAGACGGTGGGTGAGCAGCTGAGTGAGCAGGTCACTAGAAACAGCTTTTTTAGCATCATACGCGTTATAGAATAAAATTACATAATATGAATGAGGGAGTGCAACAACCATCTCTTTAACGGTATGATTGAATGTTATTTACACACTAATTTACATTGTTTATACGGGCTTCATCTCTTTTTTTTTTTTTTTTTTCTTTTTGTCTCTATGGTTGTCAAAGAAGCATGTTATATGTTTCCATTTTCAAAAATGTTGGGAGAGGAGACTCGTGATGTTATGCATTCAATTAAATGAGTTACTAACTTACTATGCGCATATTTGTGGGCATACATAGTGAATCCACTTTTACTCTTTCAATCATTTTTTAATGAATCTGTAAAAATATATCTTCAATTACCTGACCATCACAACTATATTGATTCATCCAAAAAAATTTCGTAATTAGCTTATGTTCCTATCCGCTCATTTCATTTATGCTCATCATATCAATATTGGAAATTTTTTCATCCCTTTCTTTTTTACAATAAGAAGGATAGCTTTCTTTCTCCTTTATTCATCTTTGTTTTCAATATCCAAAAGATCTATACATTTGTTTTCTATTTTAAGACTTCTTTGGTACAAGACAGCGATGTGTAAAAAATGTCTAATGTATTGTTTACAATTGTAGGGCTGGAAATTGGTGCGGTTGCGAATAGCCACACAGACGCGGTTAACCGCAACTGAAAAGGAGCTATATATGCCAACCATGATCACACCACAAACAGTTAGCAGTTAATCACTAACCGCAAAGTCCGATTAACGGTTAACCGTACCGCATCAATAATTGTTTTGATGAATTGCAAAAATTTTGGTCTTAGGATAGTACCGCCGGTGTGGAAGGATGTATCAAGAACCACTGAGTCACGGTTATCCGTGGTTAACCGCGTTAGTAATCGGTTAAATTGCGATTACCTGTTCTTCGATTGCGGTAGGAGCAACAATAAATCAAAGGTTGCGCCAGAGTGGTCGCAAGACGCTGAAGGAGCAAATAACAGGCTTCTGAGTTGGATAGTTCAAACGTAGCGTACCACTTGAAACACAGTAAAATAGTCATTTTTACCCCTTTGTGAAACCCTCCCATGGCAGTAAATTCAAAATGGTGAACGCGGGAGAGAGGAACGCGCACAGAGACAACTGACGAGAAGCCCTATCTGGTGGTCTCTATCTGTTCGAGAGAAGCCCTCCACAACCCTTCCTTCTTCCTTCCCCAAACTGGTTGCCGGGAGGATGGGCGGCATTTGGCACCGTTGCCGATGGGAGGGCTGAAGCGGTCGCTGGTCACTTTCGAAGGAAGGGTTATGGAGAACTTGGCGGCAGCAGTAAAGGAATCGAGTTTCAGAAATGTAGGAAACGAGTTTCTATTCTTCCTGGGGCTGTTGTGTTCTTCTATGACCCTCATCATTCCCCGAGCTTCACCCACAGCAGTTGAGGTGGCCAATTTAATGTTATTGGCTGAACTTGCCGTGGATACACGTATCCAAAAGAGGCTCGAAGTCGAACTCTAATAGCCTGGTATTGGCTGAAAACGGCGATGTCGCCGGAAACTCCCGCCGGGCGGAGTGTAAAAGGCAATTTAATGTCACTTGTAAGGGTTTCGTACCCCATTCCTTCGCCGGGCATTCTTTTTTCTAGGTTTAGGGCGGGGAATTGAAGCAACGGAGGTGAATTAGAAAGTAGTTGGAGTTCAAAGTTGCAGCATTTTGTACATCTTCAACTCGGATTACTGCAGGATTCATGATGATAGAGGAAAGTCGGAGTTCAAAGTTGCTACCAATTATTGGGAATCATTTAAATAGAAATTAATCTAGTATTGATTATCTCCTCGGATTACTGCAGGATTCATGATGATAGAGGAAAGAGAGCGGGGTCGGTTAGCATGCTAACCCCCCTTAGGGGTTGGAAAAATGACACCCCCAGTACATTAAATACAACTATAGAATTTAATACACACATTAAATACACATTAGGAATTAAATGCACCATATTAATTATTTGTTTTTTTTTTCAAATTAAAACCTACACTAAATACATTTTCTCTCACTATATTTGATTTTTCCTTTTTCAGCAGTCTCCGACCACCAGACTTCCTCCGACCGCCACACTTCTCCGGTGAAAATTCCATCGGCAGACTCCCTCCGACCACCTCCAAAAAATATACCACTGCACTGATACGTTGTACCACTGTACTGGTAGATATACCACTGCACTGGTAGATATACCACTGCACTGGCACCAATGTCATATCTGAGTATCAGTGCAGTGGTACAAATACCAGTAAAGTGGTATAACATATCAATGCAGTGGTATATTTTTGCATGTGACCGGAGAGAGTTTGTCGGCGGATTTTACCCGCGAAGTGTGGTGGTCGGAGGAAACTTGGTGGTCGGAGGCTGCTCGGAAAGGAAGAATCAGAGATAGGAGTGAGAAAGATCAAAGATGAGAGAGAGAATTGTATTTTGTATATGTTTAGATTTTTTTAAAACAAGTAATTAATGTGGTGTATTTAATGCTTACTTTGTATTTAATAACAGAACATTTATTATGTTTACTTTCATTAATACTTGTCAGTAATTAATGAAAAATTGACCAATTAAAAGGGGGTGTCAAAAAACCAACCCCTTAAGGGGTTAGCATGCTAACCCGTCCCAAAGAGAGCCTCTTTAGTCTTTACCATCTATGGTGGACTCCTAGGCGACACTACTTGCCTTTAATTGTATGTCCACGTTAGCACAATAAAACCCATAATTGGCTAATGGCTAGATTCTTTTGACTTTGTTTGTTGGCTTGTATGTGGGATGGGAAGGGATTGTGGGTAGTGGTTCTTTCTAACTATGTTCTTGACATTTTTCGGGGAAAAAAAAATCAAAATGGTGAAAATTGAACCAATGAATTTCCATTATATATTTAGTACCCATTATATATTAAGCAGATAGATTATTTACCTATAATAAGGTTAAAAAAAATAATGACGAGCTTGTCGTGTATTTATAAGGACTTTGTTGTCTAAGACTAATTCCTCCCCTTAAAAAAGTTATGTGTGTGACAATAAAAGATTTATTTTTGATCAATTTATATAATAATTTTCTTTTTTGTGTGTCCATCACCATAATAATGAGTGCAGTTATTAACTAGCTATCAATTATTAATTCCTACCTACTCTTGGTCCAAGAATGAGTACCATCGTTATGGTGACAAAAACCATTCAACTTTTTGCCGATATTTAAAGTGCGAAGGATCTAAGAGTTGGCTGATTATTCAAATATTGGCTATTTGTCCTACTAAATATCCATATTTAGATGTATGTACTATCATGATCGTGACGAAAAATTATTTAACGTGACAATTATTTCATTTGATGGGTATGCATCTCCTTTAAGAGGTAAACATAAAACCATTGAAATTGATCATGGAGATCTCCAAACAAAAGCACTAACTTATGCACGTATACTCATGAAGGGTCAAGTGACAGCTTTTGCTATTTTCAATATTTGTAGTGATATATAGTCTTAAGCAAATTTTGTTGCGGAAATTTCCTAGCAGTCTTAGTGATCACGAATCACGATTCATGCCCAGTTTAACTAGTTATCGCATATAGCTGCTTGCTAAAGGTAATCGTGATTCTTCAAGTTTCTGCGCTTCATGCTCGGTTTTACCCTTTAATCTTTAACGGACGATTACTCTCTCGTTTTAATTTTTTTTGCACAGATAAATTAGATTAAATATGCTCTTCAAAATGATATCAACTTTGATATATTTTTAGTACAAAAAAATTGAATAATTTTTTACCAGTCATTACAATATGGTATGCTCCAATTTAATATCATATGGTAAGAAAGTGTACCATGATGGTATGAACACCAATATGGTAAGAAAGTTGAATACATGATAGTAGGAGTATATTAAGTGTCATTTACGACTTTCATCATTGTTTACTACAAGTTACCACAAGTTACCAATCACATACCCTAGTGGTAAAGTATGGTAATTTTTTATCCAGTATTTTTTTCACCCAGAAATTTATAGATCCAATAGATCATGATGAACTCGTTCCTTCTGAGCAAAAGTTTTCAAAAACGACTTAAAAACAAAAAAGTTACCATATGGTATGTAGTTGGTAAAAAAAAGTTTCTCGAAATATATTGAATATTGATCTCATTTTGTAGCGCACAATGAACTCGTTCCATCTGTGCAAAAAATTGAAATCCGAGTTAGAACGAAGAAGATAAGAGCCAATTAAGAAAACTAGGAAAAATAAAATGCCTTTAATTGACAACCTTTAGATCTGATTTTTCTGGACCCACTTAAATCTAAAGGTCCAGATTTAGTTACTCATAAGACCCTATCCTAAGCTGTTTTGTTATTGTAGTTTACAAAATATAGTACGATGATTCATCCATCAAATTTTCTCCATTTTGAATTTATTGCAGTAAGAGTGTTATAGGGAGAGATAAAAATGACATTTTACTCTTCTTTAATTAAGTGACACTATATCCATACTGATTACAATTAAAATACTCTTGGGAACGCTCCGATTTTCTAGGAAACTGTACGAACTTTCTTCGTGCGAGAACGATCGTGCACCATGGCGGCGGCGCCGTCCAGCAAGCAACCGGCCCCGACAGGAAAGCCACCGGATACAAGTGGAGGCCGGCTGCAACCTCCTCGTCACCAGACGAAAAAAGTGACCGGGAAACTCTGTAAGCGAAAAAACATGCACGAGCCCTAGATCTAAACCAAGAAGGGGTAGGACTTGAAGATCACAATTCCGATGGATATAGAGACTGCATACGAGATGATGTTGTCAAAGGAAACACCTCTATTTGGCAGGGGGCGGCAAATATACTTTTTAAGGAATCAATCAATGAGGAAAAGTGGTAGGTAGCTGAGTCGGATTCTGAGGATGTGGCAGCTCGTGAGGAGGAAGATGACGTGATCGTAGAGGAGGAATATGATCCGACATGCCCTTTGGTGTTGTTTACAGTTGCTGAGAAAAAACGATGGCGAAGAGAGTGGAGATCGGCGTTGGTGGTGAGAGGTCTTGGACGCCGGGTCTCTTATCCGCCCCTAGCGAAATAGCTAAATTATCTATGGGCGAGGAACAGAGGTTTACATATTTCGGATATGCAGAACGGATGCTTCTTGGTGAGGTTTAGGGACCAGCGGGACTATGAACTAGCTAGCTCGGGCAGACCTTGGTTGCTTGGTGACACTTACCTCACTATGCATCGATGGTATAGGGGCTTCAACACGTGGACATCTAAGGTTAAATCAACAATAGTGTGGGTTCAACTGCCGGAATTGCCTATTGAATTTGTCAATGCCGAAGCGGTAATGAAAATTGGTAAATTGATAGGAGTCCCGATAAGGGTTGATCGTGCAACGAAGTTGGGAGCGAGGGCAAAATACGTACGAGTGTGCGTGGAAGTCGATCTGACCAAACCACTACTGTTGCAGTACAAAGTGGAAGGGGTTATCTACCTGATTCAGCATGAGGGCTTGGATAATATTTGCGGTGAGTGAGGCACGTATGGGAAGCCAGCGGCTGACTGTAGTTGCCAGAACATGAACCACGAAAATGACCTGAGTGACTGTGAGGTAGCCCCCGAGACCCAGCAGCTGAACCGCACCAATGGGAGGACTTATGGAGAGTGGATGACGGTGAAGAAACGGGATAGGAGGTTTCCAAGGAAGCCTGTTGGTACAGTTAATCGAAACCCGACACGTATGAAGAACACTTTTAAAGTGCTAAATGAGACCATGTAGGACGACGTGAACGACATGCACACTAATTTGACTCCGGATGGAGAAGAACGAACTGGGGCGGGAGCAGAGAAGGAACGAGACCATGTAGTGAGTAAGGGAGGCCTTGACATGCCCAAAAGCGCCACCCCAGAAAAGAAGCTACAAGAGAATAAGTAGTCTTGGGGTGGAAAGAAAAATGATGATGGATAGAGGCTTGTAAGAATGAGGGGAAGAAGGGTAGGAACCAGAAGAATGGGGCGGAGGCTAGGATGAGGGAAGGAACAACCGGGGGGGGGGGGGGTACAAGGAAGGAGGCGGATCACTTGCCTTCTAATAAGGGAGGAAGTGGTGTTTCAAAAAATGGTAACACGTTGTTGAGCCCGGGGAAGCAGCCAGTAGGGGGAGGAGCTAGTAAAGCACCGGTAGCTGTCAATGTCACTTGTAAAGGTGTGGGGAACCTATCCCCTTCGGGGAATAAATGCGACTCCTTAGCTATAACTGTCGCGGATTGGGAAGCAAGCGTGCAGTTAGAGCTCTCAAGTCGCTTTTGCGACAAGCTTCCCTACAAGTTGTTTTCTTAATGGAAACTAAACAGACTGATGAGGAGAATGAAGAGGTTCGTAAGGAATTGGGATTCCCAGAAGGTGAGAGCTGGCCAGCTGACACTACCCGTGGTGGACGCGCAGGGGGATTGAGTATTTGTTGGGTGGAGGAGATTGGATGACCGTTATGTCAAAGTCATTCAATCATATTGATACTAAAGTTGTGGACGAAGGATAAATATGGAGGTTTACTGGCATCTATGGATGGGCGGAGACCGATGGGAAATATAAAACGTCGGAGATGATACGAGACCTCGCGGTGCAGCGGACGGGGCCGTGGCTATGTGGGGGGACTTCAACCAAATTCTCTCCAATGGGGAGAATAGGGGAGGATGATCCTCTGCTGATCGGGCTATGTTCGATTTCCATGAGTGTCTTATTGACTTGGAACTAAGAGACATGGGCTTTGAGGGCTATGAGTTTACGTGGGAAAATCGGAGAAGGATAGGGGAGTACATTGAAGAGAGATTGGACAGGTTTGTGGTGTGGGAGTCATGGATAGACAATCATCCAAATGCTCGGGTCCGACATCTGGAACGATCTCGATTGGATAACAGGCCGATTGTGTGTGACACTAATGGCGATGATGACGTTGAGCCTCAATGGGGGTGGAGCTTTCATTTTGAGCCTTTTTGGGCAAACCACGAGGACTGCCCGAAGGTTGTGGAAAGCGCATGGTGGGAGCAGGGGTTTAAAAGTACTATGGAAAGGATCGGAACTTGTAGAGAAAATTTGGAGGAGTGGAGTACCTTAACGTTCCCGAAATTTGGAAGGAAAAGGGGCAAGATTAGGCGGGCTCTGCAGAGGCTTGACCGGCTACCGCCCACTGAAGCTGTATTGACACAAAGGAGGCAACTAGAGGCTGAAATTGAGGAGTTAGAGGAGAATGAAGAAAGTTACTGGAAACAGAGGTCTAGAGCGGACTGGATTGAGGGGGGGTGACAAGAATACAAACTTTTTTCATCGGAAAACATCCGCTAGGAGGAGGAGGAATATGATTCGCAAGATTAGAGACTTGCCTGTTCGATTATTCGTGGGAAAGGAGGGGATTTGCAACTGTTTTACTAGCTATTTAGTGGGTTTATTCACTGCTGGTCAGTTTCCACTTTAGACCCGGGTCATTGACTCTGTGAAGAAGTTGATAAGTGTGGAAGATAATGCGCGACTGTTGCGACTGGTCGATAGAGAGGAAGTGGTGATGGCTCTGAAACAAATGGGTCAAAGAAAGGCACCAGGTGCGGATGGTATGCCAGTTATGTTCTTTCAAAAATATTGGGACATAGTTGGTGATGAAGTTGTCCAAACAGTGTCTAGAGTCATTGATCATGGAGAGATGCCCGAGAAGTTGAATCATACACTGATTACTTTGATCCCTAAGGTTAAAACTCCTATGACACTGAAAGATTATCGTCCGATCAGCATGTGCAATGTTTTGTACAAATTGGTAGCGGAAGTCTTAGCTAACCAGTTGAAGGAGTTACTGGACAAGGTGATTTCCCCTTAGCAGAGTGCTTTCGTACCAAGGCATTTTATCACTGATAATATAATGGCTGCTTTTGAATGTTTTCATACGATAAAGAAGAAGAAGAAAGGAATGTATGTATTATGGTTGCGAAGATCGATATGGCAAAAGCATATGATAGAGTAGAATGGCGATTTCTGCCTAAGATCATGCGGAAGATGGGTTTTGGAGAGAGATGGATCTCCCTGATCATGCTTTGTGTAAGCACCATGACATACTCCATTCTTATCAATGGAAATCAGTCGGAGACGTTTGTTCCTGGTAGAGGCCTACGCCATGGAGACCCCTTATCTACGTACATTTTCCTTATTTGTGCCGAAGGCCTCTCTTCATACATGGCACAAGCATCAGCGGATCCAGAACACAGAAGAGCACTGGGCCGCATTTTATTAGAAAATTAGAATCATAAAATAATTAATGATTATAGTTTTTTTACAATGCAAATTGTACACGACGGTATCATAATTTAGCAAATGCATCAATAATGTAGTCCACATCTATACCAATAGTATACACTGTCCCAAATAAAATACTTGAGCAATTGAAAAGAAATTCATCGCTCATTTATTGTGCACATTAGTTTTTACATGTTTCTTTGTTCAAAAGGTTCTCTCAGGTTCTCTCTGTAGTAGTTGTTAAAACGAGCAGCGTCAACACTAGACAAATTAATATCAATTTGCATTATGTGTCCATTCCTATACCACCAGTTGTCTTGTAAATTTTCAAGGTAACAAACCTCATATTTCTTTTAGTCTATTATGCTTTATAATTTTAGGTTTCATTTTTTTTTAAGACGAAAAATCTTTGAGGCTAGAATTTCTAGGCTAAATTTAGAGTAGTGATTTGAATATGTTCATCTAAATTAATTTGCTAATTATATCCAATTTTATTATAAAATAGCATTAGGTCGAATACCTAAAATCAAAAAATTCATAAGGCCTATACCAACTATGGATCCAGAGGAAGGCTGGGCCGGGGCCCGGGGTGGCCACCCCCTGGATCCGCCACTGGGCACAAGCGGTCCGGGAGAAGAGAATTCTTGGGATTCAACCGGCTCAAGGAGCTCCGGCAGTGAGCCACCTGTTTTTCGCTGACGATAGTATCTTTTTTGCTAGGTCAACATCGCAGGAAGGGAAGGAGCTAAAAAGAATTCTCATGGACTATGAGAAGGAGTCTGGCCAGATGGTGAATTTTAATAAGTCAGAGGTCTCATTCAGCTCCAATGTCTTGACCCACCAGAGCCTGGAAATTTGTGGTATATTGGAGATGAAGAAAGTCGAGAAGCATCATAAATATTTAGGGCTGGCAACGGAGGCGAGGCGATCAAAGAAGCTTCTGTTTTAGGATCCTTTATAGTCATTTTACACAACCTCTTATATTAAAAAGCACTTCTAATAGTTTTACAGCCAAACACTCAACTGCTTTTGTTTAAAAGTACTTATCTAAAAGCTCCAGCCAGAAGCTGCTTCTGCAAAAGCTACAGCAGAGCCAAACTAAGCTATTAATAGAAACCTTTATGCAGAACAGAGAGGCTCCGCTCCACATAGATGAACAACACAAGGAAACGAAAATGTAAAAAACAACAGCCAAATGCCTTGCCAATTCGATCGATGTATCAATAGACCCATTGTAATCCCAAAGATCTCTACCTCTTCTCAATTACAAAGTTACAAAGTTACATTCTAAGAAAGCAGAATATGAATATAGTGACGTCGTACAGTAATTTGGATATAATTTTAAGTTAGGTAACTTGCATAGATTAAATGGTTAAAAATGATCAAATTTATGTTAAATCATTGATTAAAGAAATAAAAAATAAAAATAATAAGTAAAAAATTCAATGGCAACTGGGGGAGTATTAACTTCGTATTATCGCTCTTTCGTTTGATTACTAGCTAGCCATTGCGTACTTTGGCTCCAGATACAATCAGTAACCAAATCTTAGCCATCATATTTAAGTGAGCTCAGAAAATCCAGTTCTAATGGTGGAGAATTAAAGACATTTTTATTTGTTTTTTTAATCAGTTCATATCTTCTTCGTTTTAACTTGGATTTCAATTTTCTTTTGCACAGATGGAACAAGTTTGTTTTGCTCTACAAAATGAGATCCATTTTCAATATTTTTTAGAAAAAAAATATCTTGTCTCTTGTTACCAATTGCATGCCATATGGTATCTTCTTCTTTTTTAAGTCGTTTTTACTTTTGCACAAAATTAACGAGTTCACGATGATCTATTGGATTCACAAATTTCTGGGTGAACAAAATACATGACCAAAAAATACCATACAATACCACCCAATACTACCCTGGTATGGGGTGGTATCTTGTGGTACACAATATTGAAAGTCGCAAATGACAGTTAGTATACTCTTACTATTATGTATTCAATCATCCTACATTTTTGGTATGTTCATACCACCATGGTAAGCTTTTTCATACCATATGGTATGCTCTTATTTAATACCAGTCAGTACCATATATGGTATATACTGGTAAAAAATGACACATTTTTTTTGGATTATGGTATATTTAATACCAGTCAGTACCATATGGTATATTTAGATCCAATCTTGGTCCCTCGAATTAGTTAAATGGTTCGAGTTTGGTCACTCTCTGTTACCTTCCGTCAGTTTCCGTTAACACCATCAGTTATTTGCTGATGTGGCTAACAGAAGTGCTGATTCACCCAATTTAACTTATAAAAAATAAAACTCGACCCGTACAGTCATCAAAACCCGCCACATTACTTACCCACCCAACCTGTGACCCAAGTACCCAACCATTCCACTCCACCCTAATTCCTCAACCTTTTCCTTTTCCTCCGCCCCCGCCGCTGTCGTCGTCCGTGGCTCCTTCTCCACCTTAATCGATCGACGTGCGTCGCGTTACAACTCATCCAACCGTACATCTGAGGTCGGCAGCCATCCAATTGGCGCCTCCTCCTCTTCCATCGGTGGTGGCTTCGAGCTTCGTGCAGTCGCATTCGCAGAGTTTGACTCTTGACTTCACAAAATCCAACATTTTCGGCTCGAAGTCCAAGAGCGTAGAGCTGGAATTCACCAAGGACAACCACAACGTGTCTTCTAACTCCTCCTTCATGTCCTCCGCGATTACCAACGATGACAATGCCTCGAATGGGAGGCTAGGGTCGTCAATCTTCCTGTCCCCGCCGACGGCTTCCGCCGGGGAGCTAGCTCTCTCGTCGGCGCCCTACAGCAAGAAGCGGTGCCGCGAGCATGATCACTCCCAAGATCTCACCTGGAAATTCTCCGGCTCCACCACCTTAAGCGGCAAATGCCATTTCTCCAAGAGACGGTAAGCTTTTATTTCTCTAATACACGCCCCCTCAGTTTTCAATCCATTAATCAATTTTTGGCCATATTAGGAAGAGGGGAGAATTGATGACGGTAGAGGAGAAGAGGGAAAGTGGTAGTGGCGACTACTTGGAGTTTTTGTTGAAGGAAGAAGAATAGGAGAGAGAGGAGAAGAGGGAATCCGACGAATTGGACAAGGGAGGCGACAATAGCTTCTTACAGTCTTCATCGTTTGCCAAGGGATTTTGCAGATTGATTAATCTTGAGTTTGAATTTGGGTATGTC